GTGGAACCATAACATGGCTAAACTGAGGACACAAAAGCTTACCTTGCAAGCTAACACCCAAAGCCAAGAGTCCACAGCTCAAGTCCAACACACAGCAGATCACAATCTGATATGGACCAACAATACATCAACAATCATACTCTACAAGTATACAACATAAAGACAACGCCTTTTCATTACGTTTTACGTCTTAAGGCTTCTCACCAAGCCATGAGCCCTTAATCCCATGATTCTGACTTGCATTAATTAATTACAGAAGTTCAACTTCCTCAAACTAGGGTCCACAAACCCATAGATCAGTTCTGGATGAACAGTACGCTACTGTTCCTCACAAACCCAGAATATCCGGATATTCCTCGGGGGCATATCCGGATATCCAATATCTGGATATCTCTCTAGCAATATCCGGATATCAATATCCGGATATTCAGATCCCCATATCCGGATATCCAATATCCGGATATTTTACGAGCAGATATCCGGATATTTTGCGACAGAATGCAGTTTCTGCATTTCGCGAAGATATCCTTCCAAGGTTCCATTTTTAACACTTAAACACGTTAAAGCATGCATTTTTATACCCTTAAAGGTTCACATACCATCTGGTTACTTGCTTAACCCATTTACATGCAAAGTTATCACCTTTAACCCATAAAAACCCATGATCAAGGTTGTACAACTCACCAAAGGTTCAAAGCAGAGGCAAAGGGCTGCTCTTGGAGCTCACAACCAGCTCCCAAGGTTCTGACTTGAACACCAAACGAAATGGACCAACAAGAAGAGTTCTTTCTTCACAAGGAAGATACTTGGAGCTTCACAAGCCAAGAACAAGGCTCCAACCACCCAAACAAGGAACTCAACCCTAAAACTCTCCTTCAACCAGCAACACAACTCGAACACAAGCCACTACTCACTTTCCAAGATGACCCTCACTCACACCAAGTGTTTAGGAGAAGAGTTTGTGAAGGAAATGACCTCAAAGCTCAAGAAATGGTGAAGGCAAGTGAAGGAGACACCAAGTCAGCAAGGAGACCCACACTCAGCAGCCACTCACGCACAAAACTGATGAATCAACCTAGGGTTTTGTGCATAAGTCATATATATAGCCACTTAACCACAATATTAACTTTAATTGCTACGCTTAGCATTTCAATCCCAAACTTTGGATTCTTAACCTACTCAATTTTACAAGAATTATCATATTTTTCTTATAAATTTCGGAGCACCTTTCCAGTACGCGTTTTTCATAGCCAGTACCAGTTTCTGGCACCAGTTCTCATCATTTTAACTTGAAACTCATTTTACAAGTCCTGCATATTATTCTAGTAATTATCATGCACTTATTATAATTTTCTAGGATACTTTTTCGGTACGCATTTATACCGACTAGCAGAACCGGTATCTGCACTTTTCTTCCGAAAAGTGACTTTCAACATTCTTAATCACTTACTATAATTATTAGAGCCTCATAATAATTATTAGGGTCAATTATGGAATTATTTCCTAATTCCACATAATTAATTAATTAACTTCCTTAATTAACGGTGCGGGTTCTTACATCTATCATTTGAGCAATCAGCAAAATCAACATCTGAATAACCAATCACCTTGAGATCTTCTACTCTTCTACACACAAGCATGAAATCATTTGTTCGCTGTAGATATCTCATTACTTTCTTGGTTGCAGCCCAGTGATCATGACCTGTATTTGATAAATGTATCCCAAGAGTATTGACAACAAAAGCAATATCAGGTCTGGTGCATACCTGTTCATACGTGAGGCTCCCAACTGCACTATCACATGGAATATTTTTCATCCCTTTATTTTAAACATTATTTCAAACTTTAAGCTTTAACTCCCTCAAACTTGGTTTCCTCAGGTTTGTTTGACCCTGCAAAGTAGATTTTATATGGATGAAAGCACCAGAATCCAGCCACCAAGACTTTAAAGGAACATCAATCATATTCGATTCAAAACATACCAACAACTCACCTTGGCCCTTTTGTTTCTTAGCTAACCAAGCCTTGAACTTGTAGCAATTGATTCTCTCGTGACCCTTTTCATTGCAGTGAAATCATTTCATAAGTGCTCCTCCATATTTTTCATTGTCACCTTTCCTCTTGAAATTTTAAGATTGCTTAGGAGCAAGAGAATTGTACCTTTTGAATTTCCCTTTATTCTTGTTGAAGAATTTTTTTTTATCATTGATGGACAAAGAGTAAAGGCAAACTCATTCTTTTCTTTTTTTAACTTCTCTTCTTCAATAGCACATTTCTCAATCAGATCATTAACACCCCAAGTTTCATTCTGCGCATTGTAAGTAGTCTTAATCTGGCAAAAATCAGCATGCAAAACATTCAGAATATGATTCATAATAAAAGCATCCTGAAAAAATGATATTATGGGCCTTCAACTTGTTTTGAATGTGGATTATCCTTAGTATAAATTCTCTGATTCCATAGAAGAATAATATTTATATTAGTTAGCCCGTTCACTAGATATCCAGCCTCAACTTTGTTGAAAAATTTAAATCTCTCACCAATAGCCTCAATAAAAGCCTTAGCATTCAAATCTTTAGGCAAATCACTAAGCACATGCTCAACAATTAACCTCTTTATAGCAATCAGGCTCAAACGATTAGATTTCTTCCATGTGACTGTCAGTACTTTCATCAGTGGGCTTAGGAGGTTCATTTTTGCGTAAGGCCAAGTCCATGTCAATAATTCCTAGTGCAAATTCAATATCTTGTCTCAACTTCTTGTAATTCGATCTAGTCAGCATTTCGACAATGACATTATTATTGTTAAGAGAAAATTTAACTGATTGACACACATAATACAATAAATTAGTCATGAGCAATAACTAAAATAATTAAATATCATAAAATCCTCTTGAACAGAGTATATAATATATAATTATTTTTCATCACATGAAGATTTAAGAACGGAGAGAATTATATATAATTGTCTAAAATTTATCCCTTTTGGACAGATAAATTTTGTAAACTATATATCTCTATAATTCCAACTTAAAGACATCACATGTAATATACAAAAATTTATCCCCTTAGGGCTGATAAATAATTTTCAATTACATGTTACCATCAATAAAATTTTATCTTCATGTAATTTATAAATTATCATATATTAAAAAACTCCTTTGCGCAGGTAATTAACATATAATAATTATTAAAAATAATAATAACAGTGTATAAACCAAACATGCTCAAACAACACGAAACACTCTTCCAACATGTGTTTCTAGAAATTATATTGTATTTGTCAATCAAAAAGAAATTTACTCATTCTCAACCACAATTATTAAAATTATGCACCAAAATAATAATATCACAAGGATATTAATATTGAACGTACTAGGTAATTTTATAATATTAAAAATATTAGATAAGAACAAAATGCACGAGACATGCTATATCTATTAACAACAATTCATAGCATTAACAATATATCCATTGGACAAGGACACTGTGATAGACCCAATGTGAACAAAATGGGAAGGAGTCAATATACCTATTGCCAACGGTAATATTTTTCAAAAATATCGGAACATGCCATCATATATTTCTTTATATTTGAGTATTAAAAAAACTCCAAATAAAAAATAACCAAAAAATATTAACGATAAGAATTTAAAAAATAATTCATGTGTTGCACGTATTCAACAAAATTTTAAACATGATTCAGTTTACGCAACACGAGATAATCTCAACAAAAAATATTTGCTTATTGAATTGAAAATCATCATGCTTTGAAATATTTTGCAACAAAACAATAAAATAAAAAAAATAAAGAAACAAACAAAAAGGTCATGCATGCAGTTGATGGTTCCGATTTTAGATTAACAAAGAACACAAAACAAATTGCCATCATCAATCATCATATTAAGATTATACGGTTATACACTAGCACCCTTGACTTATGTTAGAAATATATTGTAATTAAGGTTTCCTTATTTTGTATTAGGTCTGATTACATTAGGTTTGGGCTTAGCCCATTAGTTTGTTTATATATTGTACATCCTTCATCAGGTAATACACACAATATTATTTTAAATGTTCCTCTCTTTCTCTCGTTATTTAACATGGTATCAAGAGCCTAAGGAACTTTGAATTTTTTTTTTTCGGTGAACCCACTGTTCATCGTATTTTACAATTTTTTTTCCCGGAACTGTCTCGTTGTCAGTTTCCGGACGATTTTCTTCCGCATTCACGCTTCTGTACCGTCAACCACCACCGTCCAGTGGTATTTTCCGGCACGCAGCCTACCGCCGTGATCGTCTTGACAACGCGGTCACAACGACATCGGCCGCCCCCTCAGAAGACGTCCCACGCGCTCTCACGCACGCGTGCAAGTTTCAACACCCTTCTCCAAACGGCGGCGCGTGGAGCCTCCTTTTCGGCCGCGGCTAGTTGCGATTTTTTCGTCTTGCTGAGATGATTCTGGATCCGGTCTTGTTTTTCTGTTTCGACATCTTTTTGCGTTGATGCATAGATCCCTCTTCTACCAGTTAGTTGTGTGATCTGTTCTTTCTGATTTTTTTTTTATTATGGACTCTCATGTCTCCGATGTTTCTGTTTCTGGGACTCCGGCTGGACAAAAGTCGGAGTCTACTATTTTTTCAAATTATATCCTTGCTCCGTTGAGTGTGGTAAATTGGATGGGTCCAACTACGATTCTTGGTCTTCCGATCTGCAACTTTGGTTGGATGGGAAGAATTATCAATCCCATCTTACCACTAAGGCTGAATCTGTGGCGGAAAATGAGCACACACGATGGAAGATGATTGATGCTCAGTTGTGTAGTCTCATTAAAGCTACTCTTCATCCGTCTATTAAGCAGATTTTTCGACCTGCTAGTACTTATGAAGCTGTTTGGAGTCAGGCAAAAGCACTGTACACTAATGATACCAGGCCCAGAGACTCTATAGTGTGTGTCAGAAATTGATGACTACCTTTGCTCCTCGGGACTTCCATTGTCCTATGACTGAATATTTGGGGAAAGCTCAGAGTCTACTTCATGATCTTAATGAACTTCTGCCTCTCACTGGTGATGTTACTAAGGAACAGGAACAACGTAATACACTTTTTATGTTGTTCATTTTATATGGTTTGCCTGACCGTTTATCTGCCAATCGGGATCAAATTTTGGGATCTGCTACAGTTCCTACACTGGATTCCGTGATGTCTACCTTGCTTAGAATTCCCTTTAAGCCCTCTACGTCATCAGCACCTCCTATGATGCCTATACCCCCAGTGGATTCTGTTGACTCTTCCGCTCTTGCTGCTCAAGGGTATGGTCGTGGACGTCGATTCTCTAAAGGAAAGCTATTATGCACTCATTGTCATCAGACCAATCATACTGTTGACCGCTGTTGGAAGCTTTATGGAAGGCCACATCCACCTCCTCTGAATGCTCATGTTGCTCAGGCTTTCTCTAGTACCTCGGCTTCAGAGTTACCTTCCAGTGCACAACCTCCAGCTGCTCTTCTGAACGAATTTGTGACTTGGTGGTCTGAGAAGCAAACATCAGGTCCTACTGCATCCATTGCTCCCACTGGTAATTCTTTTGCTGGCATCTCTCAGTTGCACTCTATAGGCCCTTGGACTCTTAATTCTGGGGCTTCTGATCACATTTCTGGTAATAAGTCCTTATTCACTTCCCTTTGTACTACTGGTTCTTTTCCCACTATTACTATGGCCAATGGGTCTCTGGTCCAATCAAGGGGGATTGGCACAGTTCTTCTTTTACCCAATTTATCTCTGGATCATGTTCTATATGTTCCCGATTCTCCTTTAAACTTACTTTCTGTTAGTCGTTTGACCAAATCCATTGACTGTGTTGTTTCTTTTACTAAAACCTCTGTCATCTTTCAGGATCGGAGTTTAGGGAAGGAGATTACCAAAGGATGTGAGTCTCAGGGCCTCTTTCAACTAGTTCCCTTCTTCTTCAGCCTGCTCCACTGTGGATTCTCCTCTTACTATACATGCTCGTCTGGGCCATCCTAGTCTTGCAATGCTTCAGAAGATGGTTCCACATTTATCGTCTCTTTCTACTTTAAATTGTGAGTCTTGTCAGTTTGGAAAACTTACTCGTAGTTCGTTTCCGAGTCGTCTTAGTCGTCAAGTTGTTTCTCCTTTTTCTGTGGTCCACTCTGATGTTTGGGGACCAAGTCGTCATTCTTCTACTCTAGGTTTTAAGTACTTTGTTACTTTTATTGATGATTATTCCAGATGTACTTGGTTATTTTTAATGAAAAAGCGGTCTGAGTTGTTTTCTATTTTTCAGTTATTTTATAATGAAATAAAAACTCAATTTGGTATTCCTCTTCGTACTTTTCGTAGTGATAATGCATGTGAGTGCTTATCTCATCAATTTCAACAATTCTTTTCATCTCATGGCATTTTTCATCAAACATCTTGCCCTCATACACCTCAACAAAATGGTGTACCTGAGTGCAAGAATCGCCATCTGGTTGAAACCACTCGTGCCTTGTTAATTGATGGCAATGTTCCATACACATTCTGGGGTGATGCTATACTTACTGCATTCTATCTCATTAATCGCATGCCATCATCTGTTCTAAATCATAAGGTACCTCACTCTATTTTATTTCCCCATCAAGCTCTATATCCTTTAACTCCACATGTGTTTGGTTCTACATGTTTTGTTCATCATCTTGGTCCAGGTCTGGATAAGTTAGCTCCCAAGTCTCATAAATTTGTTTTTCTGGGTTATCCTCGATCTCAAAAGGGTTACCGTTGCTACTCTCCCACTTTACGTCGATACTTTATCTCGACGGATGTCTCTTTTTTTGAATCAGTTCCCTTTTTTGGATCCTCTACTACTCCTGTGGACACTTCTACTACTCCTGTGGACACTGATTCTGTACAGTCATCCTTCCCAGGTGACCTTCTTTACCTTCCGTCTTTACCTGTTCATGTTTCTGACTCTCCTTCTATCACCTCCTCTGCTGATGAGAACGAGCATAGTTCGTCAGATGTATCTGTGGACTCGCATTCAACTGCATCTCCTCCCACGACTTCGGTCCCACCTGCGGATAATGACCTTCCCATTGCTCTTCGTAAGGGTACTCATGATACTCGCCCTCCGGCAAGGTATACAGTCAATATTAGTTACCATCGTCTTTCTCCATCATATTTTGCTTTCCTTTCCTCTTTGTCCTCTGTATCTGTTCCTAAGACTACAGGTGATGCACTTTCACATTCGGGATGGAGACAAGCTATGATTGATGAAATGAGTGCTCTTCATCATAATGGCACATGGGATCTGGTGCCTCTTCCTTCTGGAAAATCTGTGGTTGGTTGTAGATGAATTTATGCTGTTAAGGTTGGACCTGATGGTCAAGTTGATCGTCTTAAAGCTCGCTTGGTGGCGAAGGGTTTCACTCAAGTCTTTGGCTTGGATTTTATTGATACTTTTTCTCCTGTGACAAAAATGTCTACTGTTCGCCTTTTTATTGCCATAGCTGCTATTCGCCATTGACCTCTCTACCAACTGGATATCAAGAATGTTTTTCTTCATGGAGATCTTGAGGAAAAAATTTATATAGAGCAACCTCCTGGATTTGTTGCTCAGGGGGAGTCAGGTCTTGTTTGTCGTCTTCGTAAGTCTCTCTATGGCCTCAAACAATCTCCAAGAGCTTGGTTTGGTAAATTTAGCAGTGTTGTTCAACAATTTGGCATGACTCAGAGTGCAGCTGATCATTCTCTCTTTTATCGTCATTCTGTTTCTGGATCTATTTATCTAGTGGTATATGTGGATGATATTGTCATCACAGGAAGTGATCGTGGGATCACTCGATTGAAACAACATTTATGTCATCATTTTCAGACTAAGGATCTTGGGAAACTTCGATACTTCTTGGGAATCGAGGAGGCCCAATCTAAAGTTGGTGTTGTGATATCTCAGAGGAAATATGCTGTGGATATTCTTGAAGAAATTGCTCTGTTGAATTCAAAGTCTGTTGATACTCCTATGGATCCAAGTATCAAGCTTGTACCAAATCAGGGGGAGCCCTTTTCAGATCCTGAGCAGTATAGAAGATTGGTTGAAAAATTGAACTACCTCACAGTCACTCGGCCTGATATTTCCTTTGCAGTTAGTGTTGTCAGTCAATTTCTCAATTCTCCATGTCAAGAACATTGGAATGCAGTTATTCGTATTCTTAAGTCTATCAAGGCATCTCCAGGAAAAGGCTTTGAATATGATGATAAAGGTCATGATAAAGTTGTTGGGTACTGTGATGCTGATTGGGCTGGTTGTCCAGCTGATAGGAGATCTACTTCTGGGTATTGTATTTTTGTTGGAGGCAACTTGATTTCCTGGAAAAGTAAGAAACAAAGCGTAGTTGCCAGATCAAGTGCTGAAGCAGAATACCGCTCCATGGCGACTACTACTTGCGAGCTCATCTGGCTTAAACAGCTTCTTCGAGAGCTTAAGTTTGGAGACACTGGACAGACAACTCTCATTTGTGATAATCAAGTAGCTCTACACATTTCATCAAATCCAGTGTTTCATGAAAGGACCAAGCATATAGAAATAGATTGTCACTTTGTTCGAGAAAAAGTTCTTGCTGGTGAAATTAAAACTAGCTTTGTACCCTCTAATGAGCAATTAACAGATATGTTTACAAAATCTTTGAGGGGTCCTCGAATAGAGTTTATATGTAACAAGCTTGGTGCATATGACCTATACGCTCTAGCTTGAGGGGGAGTGTTAGAAATATATTGTAATTAGGGTTTCCTTATTTTGTATTAGGTCTAATTACATTAGGTTTTGGCTTAGCCCATTAGTTTGTTTATATATTGTACATCCTTCATCAGTTAATACACATAGTATTATTTCAAATGTTCCTCTCTTTCTCTCGTTATTTAACAACTTATAATGCTACAACCAACAAATACAAAAAACAAATGAAAAAACTAAACCATAAAGTAAATTAAATAGGACAAAAAAATATCACTTCCAAAATGTCATCGTCATATGAATTTTGATTCAAAGCACAAAAATAAAAAAATAAAAATATACAAATCGAAAATGAAAAATTAAATTTTTTGTAATCATACTATAAATTCCAGTATTCAAAACACAATATATATTGAACAATATTCCACCAAAACACATATATCATATATCAATAGAAAGATCTTGAAATGTAGAACAGAAGGCCTAAACTTTCAATTCAATCAAACAATAAATTCACCAATTAATGCATAAAGTTTCGACCTCTATAAAAAAAATCTCAATTTCTTTGATTCCATTCAACAACATGGATTCTATAATTATATGGACAAGGCTCTAATACCAATTGATAAATTTTATGTAATGAATCATGCATATGGTTATAAAATACCAAATGAAAATAAATCAAGTTTTGATTGTGTGTACCTTGTTAGGCCAACACAAAATCGGAGAAAAACTAAAGGAAATGAGGGAACTCGGTGCTAAGATCTTCCTCACTGTCGCCTATTTTGAAAATGGCAGTCTACTAGCGATGGGAGCATGATGACTTATGGGGCCTAAGCCTAATATAAATAGGCTAGCGAGGGGACCTAGCCAAATATTTTGAAAAGAGTTTGTGTCCACTTGGTCCACCCATCATGGAAACCATGATCACACTAAAGCATACTCTGCTTCTCAACTAGACCCAATACCAACAGATGCCATAAGGCCAACTCAAAATTATCACAATGAGCTATTCAAATTAATAGAATTGGAATATCTATTAACCCGATTAATTTTAAAACACAAAACTAATTAATTAATATTGCCCGTAAAAAGAAAAATCTCTAAGAAGAGTAACATTTTCATCCGTGTGTGTTTTATTGTCATTTATTTTCTCTTGAGTTCTAACTCTTGCTAATCAGAGCTTGGTTCGTTCTTCAAACGGGCTTCTTGAGAGAGTGAAACATGTGAGGTGAGTCTACCAAAAATAAGTGAATCACTAAAGGTTCCTTCAAGTGGAAATAAACGAGTTTCGTAGCCACTCATCCATATGTTTAATGGGGAGTGATGCCGAAAGCGCATAGAAATTGCTAAACAGAAAGTTGGGATTTTTATAAAAGAGTAATCTTCCGATTCTCAATTTCTATTAACAAAATATCAAAATTCAATTCCTAGAATAAGGGTCATAAGCACCCTTTTATAGACTAATTACAAATTGATTCAAAATTCTAAATCTAAAATTCTAAAAATAATAAAACTTCCTAAAATAAATATAACAGTAATTAACATCTAAAAATAAATAAATAATTACAAATAAAAAATTCAAAATACATCCCAAATTACGCCAAATATGTTGCTTTCCTTTTCTTCCCAAACAAATCACAATCACATATGCTGCTTTAATGGGACTTGGATTCGATTGTAATTTGTTATATTTCAAATCATTGCATCTTTCAACAATTGTTTCATACTTATTGGACCACAATTCTAGTTGACTACGAGCTTCTTGAATCAATGGTTGGGCCATGTACAATGGGCCAACTGTAAGTGCATCATTCTCCCCTATTAGAAAAAGATTCGTCCTCGAATCTTGTTTATCTTCACTAATCGAAATTCCTTTAGACAAAAACTCAAATGATAAACTTCCTCTATTAGATCTTCATAATATGATTCTCCATCAGATTTATTATAGACTGGATTATCATCATAAACTGAATCTTCATCATAAGATGGATAATCATCATAAACTGAATCTTCATCATAAGATGGATAATCATCATAAATGGGATAATTATCAACAATCGGATAATTACCAACAATTGGATAATCATTATAAATTGGATTATCATCATAGATCAGATCATCATCACAAACTGGATTATGATCATAGACTTCAAAGTCAGGAATTCTGATTTGCATCTCGATATCTTGAAAAATGGACTGATTCCTAGGTCATACTTCCCAATTTTGTCCCTGGTTTAGAATCCCCAAGGGATTGACATCCTCTTCTTCGTCATCAGATGCGTCATCTAATTCCATTCCTTCTTCGGATTGAATGCTAAACTTTGTCCACGCAAGTCACCGCTCCAAATATTGAATTTCCATGCTCTGCACCTCCACAAGAGTTTGCTTCAAAATTTGAATTTTCATACATATTTGCAAGAAGTCGTCTCTCAAAATCTTGAGTTCTCTTTCTCTGTGCCCGCACACATAGTCGCTTCAAAACTTGGATTTTCTTGTCCAACGCTTGCTCAAGTTGTTGCTTCAAATCCTGGATCTGCCTTCCGATCTCTTAATTTTCTATATCTCGCGGGTCAATCTGACGCAGTTGTCTATATTCTTCAGGAACGAATCCACGTTCCTTACCCTTGTGACTCCGCCGCCGTCGACCTTCACGATTCTGTTCAGCCATTGGTTGAAGGCAACCTAGTGCTCTGATACCAAATGATGTCGAAAGCGCATAGAAAAGTGGCTAAACAGAAAGTTGAGATTTTTATAAAAGAATAATCCTTCGGTTCTCAATTTCTATTAACAAAATATCAAAACTCAACTCCTAGAATAAGCGTCATAAGCACCCTTTTATAGACTAATTACAAATTAATTCAAAATTCTAAATCTAAAATTCTAAAAATAATAAAACTTCCTAAAATAAATATAACAGTAATTAACATCTAAAAATAAATAAAAAATTCAAAATACATCCCAAATCTTTAATCTCAAATCACGCCAAATATGTTGCTTTCCTTTTCTTCCCAAATAAATCACAATCACATTTGCTGCTTTAATGAGACTTGGATTCGATTGTAATTTGTTATATTTCAAATCATTGCCTCTTTCAACAATTGTGTCATACTTATTAGACCACAATTTTAGTTGACTACGAGCTGCTTGAATCAATGGTTGGACCATGTACAATGGGCTAACTGTAAGTGCATCAGGGAGAAGTACTAATTTTGAAGTGTAAAAATGAAGACATTGTTCAAATCACAATATTTGTGGGATCTTGTTGAGGAAGGTTTTCTTGACTTTGATGAAGTTGCTAGATTAAGGGAGAATAAGAAGAAGGATGTAAATACAATTTTCTTCCTTCTTAAGAGGACATATTTCCAAGGATCATGGGTGCAACTTTATCTAAGAAAGCATAACAGGTCTTGCAAAAGCAATATCAAGGCGACAACAAGGTTATGGTAGTCAAATTACATACATTTCAGTGTGAGTTTGATGCTGTAATGATTAGAAAAAATGAATCAGTTTAAGATTTTCTCGCTTGAGTTTCAGCAATAGTGAGTAAAATGTGAATTTATTCCAGATATGTTAAATCATGCTCTAATAGTACTACATAAAATTACTATGCTCTTATGATTATTGATGATTATTCTAGATTTATATGGACACTTTTCTTATCACATAAGCATGAGTACAAATCTTTTAAGAAGTTAGCAAAACATATCGTGAATAAGAAAAATATGAAAATTGTTCATATTAGAAGTGATCATGGTGGTGAGTTTGAAAAGTTTTGTGATAAGCATGGCATAGGCCATAATTTCTCTTCTCCTAGAACACCTCAACAAAATGGAGTTTTTAAGAGGAAGAATAGAGTTTTAGAAGAACTTGCTAGAACTATGATTAGTGAAAGCAATCTTCCTAAGTACTTTTGGGCTGATGCAGTAAGTACCGCTTCTTATGTGATATATCGTACACTAATTAGGCCTATCCTTAAAAAAATCTCGTATAAACTTTACAAAGGTAGAAAGTCTAACATTGCATATTTTCATGTGTTTGGTTGCAAATGTTATGTCTTGAATAATGGTAAGGATAACCTAGGTAAATTTGATGCTAAAGTCGATGAAGGCATATTTCTTGGTTATTCTCTTATTAGCTAAGCTTATAGAATTTATGATAAAATACCCATGATTATTGAAGAATCTATTCATGTTGTTTTTGATGAAACTAACTCTTTCTTACAAAAAAGTCTTGTGATGATGATATTGTAGATACTTTGGATGACTTGTCTTTGGAAGATAAGAATGCTAACAACAAGGAAAAGGAAAATATTGATGATCAAAGGAATCAACAAAGTAAGCAACAATAGCTACAAAAGGATTAGAAGTATGCAAAGTCACACCATATGGTTGCTATAATTGGAGATCTATCAAAGGGAGTTTCTACAAGAAGTTCTTTCAAGAATACTTGCAATCACCTAGCTTTTGTTTCTTAAGTTGAACCCAAGACAATCCGGGAAGCTATTCAAGATGAGAATTAGATGCTTCAATGCAAGAGGAGCTAAATTAATTTATAAGAAATGATGTTTGGGAACATATCGCTAAACCGGATGATCATCAAGTGATTGGTACTAAATGGATATTTAGAAATAAACTTGGTGAAAATGGTTTAATCACAAGGAACAAGGCAAGACTAGTAGCTAAAGGGTACAATCAAGAAGAATGAATTGACTATTATGAAACCTATGCACCCGTTGCAAGATTGAGGCAATTAGATTGCTACTTGCATATGCTAGTATATATGATTTCAAGCTATATCAAATGGATGTCAAATCTACATTTTTAAATGGTTTTATTCAAAAAAGGTATATGGTCAACAACCACCCGGTTTTTAAAGGTTTGACTTTCCTAATCATGTTTTTCGGTTGAAAATGGATTTATATGGTTTAAAACAAGCTCCAAGAGCTTGGTATGAAAGGTTGAGCAAATTCTTACTTGATAATGAATTTGGTAGAGGTAAAGTAGATACTACATTATTCATAAAAAGAAAGCATAATCATTCTTTACTTGTGCAAATTTATGTTGACGATATTATTTTTGGTTCTACTAACGAATTTCTTTGTGAAGAGTTTGCAAAAATGAAAGGTGAGTTTGAGATGTCTATGATGGGAGAACTCAACTATTTTCTTGGATTGCAAATAAAGCAAGAAAAAGAAGGCATATTCATCAATCAAGGGAAATATTGCAAAGAGTTATTCAAGTGATTTGGGATAGACCAAGCTAAACCAATAGACACTCCAATGAGAACTTTAATCTCAATCCACAAGGATAAATATGGTAAATTGGTTGAGGTAACAAAGTATAGAGGTATAATTTGCTCTTTATTATATTTGACCGCTATTAGTCTGGATACTATGTTTTTTGTTTGCTTATGTGCTAAATATCAATCTTGTCCTAGATAATCACATTTAAATTTACTTAAAAGGATTATGAGATACTTAGTAGGCACTACACACGTTGGTTTATGGTATCCTAAGGGATTCCCACCTACTTTAATTGGACATTCTGATTCCAATTTTTCTAGTTGTAAATTGGATACGAAGAGTACAAGTGGTACTTATCATTTGTTTGGAAATGCTCTAGTCTCATGACATAGTAAAAAGCAAGTGAATGTTGCTTTATCAACCGCCGAAGTGGAATATGTAGCCACCGAAATTTGTGTTGCCCAAGCTTTATGGATGAAGCAACAATTTCAAGACTATGGTTTATTCCTGAGTCACATACCAATTAAATGTGATAACACTAGTGTAATTAATTTGACTAAGAATCCTATTATGCACTCTAAAGCATATTGATATTAGGAATCATTTCATTAGAGAACATGTTCTTAAAGGAGATGTCAATATATAATTTCTAGAATCTCATGCTCAATTAGAGGATATATTCTCAAAACCATTGTCTAGAGATCAATTTGAGAACTTAAAAGTGGAACTAAGATTGTTGAATCTCATCTCTTGATTTGTATGGTTTGTTGTTAACACATATATATGGTATATCTTTGATGATTTTTATTGCTCTAATACCTTATTTTAATGTTTTGATAAATGGTTTGATGATTACTAGTCACTGCTTTAATGCCACTCAAGTAATAAATGTCTTTGAGATGCTATTAAAATCAAATTTATTTTTCAATGGCATTTATGTAAATACCGGAAATTTTGGAAATTTTATTGTTTCTAAGTCATTTTAACATATTTTTTAGATTTTGATTCATAATTTTGAATATATGAGCCTATTTTGACTATAAGTTGACTTTTTGATACTTTCTTATACTATTTGGTATATTTATATTTGTGCACTTTTTGAAGTTGTCAAAACAGATAGAAATACGTTAGAATTGAGAAATTTTGATTACTTTTATGTTCCTTAAGTGTTTGTCAAAGAATAAGAAAATGTTGACTTTTTCTATTAGGGGCAGCATATAGGTAGGGGGAGTTTGATTTTGATTTCTCATGCTATTAACTCCATTTCTCAATTAAGTATTTGTCATCATTAAAAAGGGGGAGATTGTTGAACCATAGGTCATGAAGACTATGATATTGAAATTTTGATGATAACAAAGCACCTACATTAAACAAACATAGCTCAACGTGGAAGCTCTCAATGGGAAGACATGGCAACAAGTCAAAAATGGTACTAGAAGACCAAAGCACAATACAAAATTGATAAGGATGCTCAAATGTGAAAAGTCAAGCTAGAAGTCAAAGTATTTCAAGTTTAAAAGAAGTACTAGAAGGCTCAAACTATAAAGATATTTGAAGACAAATGAAGACATAACTCTATATTATTTGTAATGTCTAGTTTAAGTCTTAGATCTTATAAGAATGAGTTGATTGAGCTTTATCTTTGGAAATGCACAATTAGACCATAAACTCATATTAATGACACATATACACTTAGATCATGCATACGAGGTCCACAAACATCAAGAGATGTTATATAAGTGTGAGACATGATCATACATATGATATAAGTCACTAGAATTCATTTAGAAATCACTTAGAGGTTTTAAATTTCGAAAAACTAGCAGGAAATTGTCATCTGCATAAAAGTAATCGAATACTTTTTGTGTTTGAAGATGTAATCAAATACCTCATGAACAATATTCGAATACTTGCTGAGTTTGAAGAAGTAATTGAATACTCCCCAAGTAATCGATTACTTACTGTCGTAAGTGACTTAAAGCTTAAATAATTCAAATTTTTAGATGTCCAACGACTATTAACTCAATTGGGAACATATAAGTACATGACTTTAGGGTTCTAAACATAAGAATTAATAAGGAAAAACACGAAATCACACAGAACTCAGAATAGAACCCCAATTGACCTATTTTTGCATATCTTAGAGGAAAAACTCAATTACTCTCTCATTTCTCAATATTTTTCTAATCTTTTTTTTTGTACTGGACATGAAGAGATTGCTTTACATTTGTTTGGCAAGAGTGAATTGTTGTAATTGATTTTGGAGAATTGGAGAGACCCTATAGGTGATAGGTTGAGTGTGATCAAAGGTTTGATCATAGACTTGTAAAAGACTTCATTGTAAAACGGTTTTTTTGGCATTGGTTAGAAGCTATAACATAGCGAACGGATCGACCTTAGTGTAGATGTAACTCTCCAGTGGTTAGAGAATGAACTAGGATATATGCCAGTGTGATTCTTTCTTACCCTTATCTCTTTGATTTTGATCAATTGATTTTATTTTGATTCATTGTATATGTTTTTTTGAATCTTTTTAAGGGATATGAATTGATAATTTTCTGTTTAATTTCGTTCTTGCATGTTTTATTGAAAAAGGTTGCCATAAACATTGATTTCTTCTCTTTTCCAATTTATTTTTGATTCCGCTGTTTAATCTCTGAATTGGATGTTATATGAGATGTTTTAATTCTGTTTTTGAGTTAAGAAAAGTTTGATACTTTGTAAGTTTCATTTTTGGTTTAAGTTGTTAAAGGGTTGTCTTTTATTGTTTCTTGAAGAAAAAGTAACACACAATTCATCCCTTCTTTGTGATTGTTTAACCATCTTTGCTTTTCAAAAATTGTTTACACTTATACCATGATCCTTCTGTGCTTCAATTCTTTAGCCATATTTCTCTTTAATTATGCTCTCGTTAGCCATGCCCCATTATATCCTAAATAAAGATTTCTTGATCTTCTGTGCATGTTATTAAAATGTAAAGAGTGAGAATATAACTAAGCCTATAATAATATTGATTCAGTGAAAGTTTAAGTTAAACACGTAACTCTAAACACTTGAGTGATGAGTGAAATAAGAATTCCGATGAAGAGTGAGTTTAGATTGAGCTATCTATACTTATTTGATTGATTTTTTGCTTTGGTTTTATGAGTTGCTTGCTTTTGGAAATTGTCTAATTGGTTGCTTGTTGTTAATGTTTTGGATTGAATGTTAATACCAATAAATTGAGTCACTTGCCTTAATTGATAATTCAGGGACATACGGCACCCATCGAACGTAGGGTTTACAAGTCACAGGAAAACGAAAATAAAACGTAACTAAATAGTAGAAACGTAACTAGAACGAAAAGAAAACGAAACGGAAAACGTAACGAAACGTAGTCAAGGTTAGCTGAGAAAGATGAAGAGCAGTCCATAATAGCTCTCTCTTTCATTAGAAGCGGGTCAGAGATTGGAAATAGAGAATCCTTTCCAATGGAAGAGGAAGAGTATTAAGGATGACACTGAGTCACTGACACATTAGCTGGGACACTTCAATTATTGAAATTTTAAATACAATCAAAATCTTAATTTGAATAAGAAATTATTCATCAAAAAATAATATAATTAATTTTAAATAATTAAAACAAAAATAAACTAATTTAATCGCAAATAATTAAAATAAGAAAATAATGATGAATCTGGATGACTACAAGTTACTCTCCAGACTCCAGCGCGGGCACAATATATATAAATTTTTGTACTCAGCTTGAAAATTATATTATCTATTAATTTAATTTTGCATATAATTTTCTTATTTTTTATTTAAGTTTATTATTATTAATTTTAAAATATTATAACCTGACGAATTTTTGACTTATACAATTTAGTTAATAAAGTTAAAATGATGTTATGTCGTTTGTCAATTATATATATATATACAATTGATGTTATGTCGTTTGTCAATTATATATATATATAAAGTTAAATTGAAATTTACATGTGTATTAATATTTTATTTTAAAATATTTATATTTTTAATAAAATTTGGTCAAATAAAATCATTTTATTTTTATTAACTGATATAAGTATGTTATTGTTTTTTTTAAATATCACTATTAATTCGAAATAAATTGAAAATTATAATATTAAATACTAAATCAAGAAAATTTATTTTTAATAAATTTTAAATAATTTTAATTTTCTTATAATAGAGTGCCAAAACAGAATATAAATGAAATTTTAAAAAAGAATTTTACTCAACAGCTATAAATAATTTTAATCTTCTTTTAATACATGTTACGCTCACTTGAAATAGAAACACAATTATCTAATTGCATTTATGAAAAAAATCAAAAAAGTGTAATTATAATTAGATGAATAGTTTTATTTATATTTTAAGAGATGAATTACGTAACATGAATCACTAAAAACATTCTCCTCAGAAAAAAGAAAAAGAAAATCTCATGAAAACCACAAAAAGCCAAAACAGTACAATTACAAAGTTGACGTAGTGGATCCCACTCGTACCCATTCTCTCGTGTCTTAATATGTCCCCACCCTAACATGTTGTTATGCATTATTTAAGTCAAATATTTGATAAAAAAATTATTACTATCAAACATTATAAATATTACATTATCAAAATCAAAAGGCCCACACTATGCATGGTACATGGTAGGGGTGTTCAACAACCGATCCAAATCGATTCAAACCGTGGTGACCGAACCGAAAAATCGTTAATCGAATAAACCGAAAATCGAAAAACAAAAAATAGAAAAAAACCACAAATTTTAATTGGATTGGATCGGTTTTTGGATAAGTTGATGAAAACCGATCCAATCCAAACTGATCCAATATATTAATTTCCCTCTACCTACTTGGATCTTTCCTTAATCATAGTCTAAAAATTTTTAAACCCAAGACTCATTAACCCATCATCTAAACCCAAGAAAAAATCTAGTCACATCTCATCAACAAAATTTTATCTTTGTAGAGCTTCATATCTCATTGCAAAAAAAAAAAACTATATTATAATATACTAATGCTTTTTTATTTCAATTTTTTTTACAAAGCCAATATATACAAAAGATGTTATTTGTACAATAATCATGAAATAAATTTTAAGATTTTCAAAAAATCAAAAACCGATCCAATCCAAACCGAAAAAAATTGGATTGAATCGGATCAGATTTGGAAAAAAATTCAAACCGAATGGATGATTATATGATCAAACCGAAAGGTTTGGATCAGATGATTTTTTCTTCCAAAACCGATCCAATCCAGACAGCGAACACCCCTAGTACATGGAAAAAGAAAAATCCAATTAACATAATTTATTATACCTTTTATAATTAATGCCACAAGTTCCACTTTTTTTCTATTTTTTTAAATATAATATGAACATATCACCTCGGCTCATGCAAACTACTCGTTACGGACCAATAAATCTTTGATGTTATTGTTGTATGTCAGTACATTCCACCAATAGAAATATTTTTTTTTTCTCTCCTATGATATGTAATACTCCGATTGATGAGATGCACAGAATCTTGATACAAAAGTAGCACTAAAGATTTATTCGACCATCATTTTTTTTTACTTTAGATATAGGAGCATATAAGGTCTTGGGCACTCCCATCCTTTGAGCTAGCTTATGGGGTGGTGTATCTCAAAGTTCTTTACATGGTATCAGAGTCTCACCGTTCTCCGCTTTAAAGTGGAATTAAAAAAAAAAACACAAAAGGTAAACCAAAAATGGGTCTGTGCAATTTCCACGCTTCTAGCCTAAAGGGCTCTTGTGTGAAGGGGCGTGTTGAGATATATAGTCTCACATTGATTGGATGAGCAACTAATATGGTCTTTACGAGGACTTGGGCACTCCCAAACTAGCTTTTGGAAAGTGCCCAACCTTTGAACTAGCTTTTAGAGTGGTGTATCCAAGGTTCTCTAGACTCTGCTTTTACACTATATATATACACACAGCTCTGGCTTAGCTTCACCAGAAGATTAACAGCATGGGAGTCATCCGAGTCATCTCCACCAGTACAATTCAAGCACCGAGTCACAACAATGGTGACTCAACTCAGAAAATCAATTTAACCCCATGGGATATCCAGCTCCTCCCCGTTGACACCATCCAAAAAGGGCTTCTTTTTCACAATCCCAACAACACACCAGACACACAAATCCAAATCCAGAACCTCAAACACTCACTTTCCTCCACTCTTGCATTCTTTCCACCCCTCACAGGCCGTCTCATCATTACAGAACACAAATGTAACACTTGCTCCGCTTTCATCGCGTGCAACAACGTTGGTGCACTTTTTGTTCATGCTGTAGCAGAGAACACTAGTGTTGCTGACATCCAAAAACCAAACTACGTTCCTCCCATTGTCCACTCCTTCTTTCCACTCAACGGAATGAAAAACTATGAAGGAACATCACAGCCGTTGCTAGCAGTGCAAGTCACTGAGCTAGTTGACGGCATCTTCATTGGCTGCACAATCAACCACGTGGTTGCTGACGGCAAGTCGTTTTGGCTTTTCATAAATTCTTGGGCTGAAATCTCACGTGGTTACCAAAAAATATCAAAAGTCCCTGAACTTGAACGTTGGTTTCTTGATGGCATTGACTGCCCCATAAGATTTCATTTCACAAACAAGGAAGAGAAACAACACCCTGAAAACTTAAAACCACATTCACCACCTGAGAGGGTCTTCCATTTCACAAAGGAGAAAATTTCGCAACTCAAATCAAAAGCTAATGCAGAGGCCAACACAGATAGAATATCTTCTCTGCAAGCGCTTTTAACTCACCTTTGGCGCTCTGTGATCCGTTGCCAACGTCATGACCCACAAGAAGAGATCCATTATCTCATGATGATAGGGTTTAGACCCAGAACGGTTCCACCATTGCCAGAGGATTATTTTGGAAACGCTGCTATGTTTGGTGGTGTCACCATGAAAGCAGGGGAACTGCTTGAGGGTGGACTCGGCAAGTGTGCTTGGGAGATGAACAAGATGATAGCTACGTACACTGATGAGAAGGTGAAGAGCCACTATGAGTCTTGGGTTAGAACCCCATGGTTTCTTTCGCAGAGTAGCGTGGCCGGTCGTAATTCCTTGGCCACAAGCAGTTCCCCAAGGTTCAATGTTTATGGTAACGACTTTGGTTGGGGAAAACCTGTGGCAGTGAGAAGTGGCAGTGCAAATAAGAGAAACGGAAAGATTACTGTGTTTGCTGGGTCAGAAGAAGGTAGCATCGACATTGAAGTGTGCCTTCCTTATGAGATTTTGGAGGCCATGGGAAATGACCCTGACTTCATGGATGCCGTTTCCAGCTAATAAATGAATTCAATGAATAATATTAGTTTATTTCAATTCCGATCCTTGGGTATGTATTGTTTACTGATGAATACATAGATGTTCAATTCCTTACCCATGATAGAAAGGTTTGATGTTCGGTTTCTGTAAGGAATAAACGACTATGCCATGCCGTTACGTTCATAGATTGTGCTGTGATCTTTGTTCTCCAGAAAACTCTTTTCTTAATCAACTCTTAATTCGTTGTATATTACTAAAAACGGTTACATGTTCCATTCATGGGTCACGTTCTTTGTTCATTAAGGATAATTTTATTATGTACATAAAAGAGGATAATTTTATTACACGATGTATACGAAAAATGCACTTTTCACTTGAGAAGAATGATTCTTTTCCCATGCAATAGACAAGCATAAAAGGACAATGTCAAACCAATGTTAAGCGTAAAAGTCGTTTCCTTAGCTTTTGAACTCTTCAATGTAAATAAAAAAAGCATTAAATAAGTAAAAATGTAAATTAAAAATATTTACTTGTATGTGTTGGAATAATAGACAAAAAACGTTCAAATAATAGATACGTTTAAAATAAAAGAGAGAAGGTAAAAATATTAGGTGAATAGAAAGAGAGAAACGCAGGGTGAAGTAAATATAAGAAGAGGAAAGACATGACATACCTATGCCATGTTATATGTTTTGTTTTAGAGGAAAATGTTTATCATTTCAGGGGAAAATATTTTTTTTTTTTTGGTAAACAGGGGAAAACATTTTTCCTGTTGTAGGAGAAGTGTCTTCTCTTGCTATTCATACATCGATTTGTGTGTTAGTTTTTTTTTTTTTTACAATGGGGTCCACCTTGAATATGTGTTTGCAGGAAAAAATTTCTTCTCCTGTGAAAGGAGAAACACAAAGCCCATCATTTTAAATGACATAACTTTATGTTATTTTAGATGAAACGACGTCATTTTGGTGTATAATTGATAATATTTTATATTCTCCCTCCTCCACTTCCTCTTCTTCCTAATTTTATGGGAGAGAGAATATAAAAAGTGACCAAATTTACATTAAAACAATGTCGTTTCATCAAAAATGATACAAAGTTATGTCTAGGGATGTAAATGGGCCAGATCGCCTGTTAGGGGCCTCTGGCCCAGCCTGGCTTGTTTAACAAATAGAATAAGTTTGTGCCTATTTATACAAAGCCTCTTTAAAAATCAGGCCACAGACCAATTTTGCAAAGCCTGGCCCGTGAGCCTTCGAGCTGGCCTGTATTTTTTAATAAAATTTATTTCCTATAATATTGTAGGGTAATTCCCTTAACTATTTTAGCCACTTTTCCCCATTCTCGTTGCAAACATATTTTTCCTTTACCTTAACGAACAATCATACCCATAAACTTCCCTGTGAGGTTGTGACTGAAGATCATTTCGTCCCTTTTGCTACTATAGCTTTTGGTCCCCAACTCATCTCTCTTTATCTCTCACTATCTTTACTTTCAAGGTTATTATCATTGTGCTTGTCTACTGTTTTTCGAGCATTTTTGTTGAGGTAAATGACTATTTGCAAGTACTCTCTCTCTCTCTCTCACACACACACACACACACACACACACACACACACTCTAGCCATATAGAATACTATACACATGTTGCGACTCGACAAGTGCACCGGTCGTTAAGTAATAAAAGTGTACCGGAGTACGAGATCGTTCCCACAATGATTGGATTTTCAAACACTAGTTCGCTAATCGCGGTTTAGTTGGACAATCAAGGTTGAGATGAGAAGAATTGAAATTGAAAATAATTAATAACATGCAAATTAAAATTCAGAATTAAAAAACAATTAGAAAAGATAAGTGATTTAACGATTTAAAAACAAGCGTAGTTAGGGTTTCAACTTCCCCCAATATCTTCGTTATGCTATGAATTAAACAGTCAAGAATCTGCTCTTAATATAATGCCAATATTCTTTCTAAGTTAATTAGGGTTCAATTCCTTGTTACCCTAAATCTATGTGATCTTGAAAGAACTCTAGTTCCCCGATTATTCCCCAAGAAAACATGCATTAAGATCAGGAATTTAAAGATTGCACAATTACCTTATGTCTATCCTAGATCACAAGGATTATGATGAATTTATCAAGTCAGGGTTCATGTACCAACATCCCTATTGTCATACAATCCCCCTAAATCAATCTATAAGTAGCAAACTCATAGAAAGTATTAAAAATAGATAAATTCATTCAAATATAGAAATAGAAGAATTCAGAGACAATTTAATTCATAAACATAAAGATTTAATTGGGTTCCATCTACCCCTAACTACATAAAAACTTAGCCTAGCATACTGAATTGAAAAACAATAATAAAGAAAAGAGAACCTCAATCCTCCATTGGTGTAATGTTGACTTGGTTCCTCAGTGCTCCAACGCTCCGCAACAGGATTCCTCCTTCAGGTCTCTGTGTAATTCCTTGGTGTGTCTGTGTATTCCCTTGACCCCAAGCTTCCTATTTATAACCTTTTAAGCCATATCTTTTAATTCTCCATCCTATCTCCCTATGAATCTCTATCCATTAATAAATCAAGATTGATTTGTTTTCGCTTTTATTCAGAATATTGCAAATCTATATCAATTAGAAAATCAAATCAAATCTTGGGCTGATTGGGTTCGCATTAAGCGCTCAAGCGCGCTACTGGGCGCTTGAGCGTGCTCTTGTGCACAGAATTGCTTGAAGTTGTCTGCCCATACGCGCTCGAGCGGCCAACTGGGCGCTCGAGCGTGCTCCTCGATGGTAAACTCTTGTAGTGTTGGGCGCTTGAGCGTGCTGTTGGGCGTTTGAACGCCCTGGATTGCTCATTTTAGCTGATTTTCCTGCCTGGACGCGCTCGAGCGTCCATTCTGTGTGCTTGAGCGTGCTTTTCTGGCCCTTGACTTGTATTATTTTGGCTTCCTTTGGTACATATTAAGCTACAACTCTTTGTCATGATTTCTTCATCACTTTTTAGCACCAATATGTGTGGTTTTACCTTCAAAATGCAAAGAAAATCAAAATGTTAGCTCAAATTATTATCTTATGATTTATATGCTGTAAAACCTTGAATTCCATGCAATCTACTGCATATTCCTCATAAAATTTAGCCTAAAATATGGTAAATCAAAGGTTTATCAATACACACACAAACACACACTCTAGCCATATAGAATACTATATATGATGTTGCCGTTCAGGAAGTTCTTTTTTCAAGTAATTATTTTTTCTTCACTTATTAGATCTATCTCTTAATATTTGGTCTTTTCTCTGTATTTTAATTTATTTCTAGGTTATATCTCTTTGGGTATTTTTGGCTTGAACTTCTTGTTTTATTTATTGTGAAATCTAAATTTTTGAAGACAATATTTTAATGTTTGATAAATGATGTTATTTCCTATGATTGTCTGCATGTGGGTTTCATATTACTTTTCTTTGAGCATTTGTTCAACAGTGTCCTGATAAACCTTTAGCTTATCATGTTTTTAGGGCTAATATCACATGAATCACATAGTCAAATGCATGAAAACTTAGGTTTTATCGTGAAAAAGTATAAATGTTGGATTTTGATCTAACGTAATTTGTTCTTGCGTGTTTTGAAGGTGAATTGACATAAATTTAGGCAAGAATGAAGTAAAGAACTTAGAGGAGAAGCTTGAAGATCAAAGAAAGTCCATATAACACATTCCATAAGCAAATTGAAGACTGGAAGAGCGTGCTAAAGCCCGTTTCATCGTGCTAACAGGCGCTATCATGAAGAAATTTCCTTTTGAATAGAGCGCTTTAACGCGCTCAGGCAGAGAATCAAGGTGTTATTAGCGCGCTAACACGGTTCAAATTTAGGACCATACTGTTGAATCCGTTTAGGGCACAAACTTTACACCTATAAAAGGAGATTTTCAACACTAATAAAGGAGCTTTTGAAAATTCTGATTGAGGAATCCTAATTTGGTGATAGAAGCGCGTTTTTCATGCATTGGAGCATCAGAAGCGAGTTGATTTCAAGAACACGCTGGGAGTTTTGAGGATTCACCATGCCATCACACCAATAGAGTTTGGGGGATTTTCATCACTTTCTATTATTTCTGATTGCGTTATGTTAAGCTAGATTTTTATGTAGTTAAGGATAGATGGAACCCAATTGATACTTTTTTGTTATGAATTAAATTGTCTCTATAATTCTCCTTTTTATAATTGGATGAATTTATCTGTTATTAATGTTTTCTATGAGTTTGCTCCATGTATATTGATCTAGGGGAGTTATATGACAATAGAGATGTTGGTACATGAACTTTGAATTGATAAATTCATCATAATCCTTATGATTTAGGGATAGACATACGGTAATTATGCAATTGTGTGATTTTTGATTTGAATTCATGTTTTCTTGAGGAATAGCTAGGGAACTAGGATTCCTTCAAGATTATATAGAATTGGGGTGTCAAGGGTTTGAGTCTCAAATAAATTAGATGAATCCATTGGCAATATATTAAGGGCAATTACTTAATGATTTAATTCATAATATAAAGGGGGAATTGGGGAAATTGAAATCCTACCTATGCTTTTCTTGATTGTTAAAACTACTTTCTTCTATTTTCTTGTTTTTAATTCTAAATTCTTATGCTTTTGATCAATTTTAGTTTTAAATTCAAAGTTTCTCATAATTTTCTGTCCAAATAAAGCGTGAATAGGGAACTAGTGATTTAATTTTAATTCTCGTGGAACAATCTCGTACTCACATACACTTTTATTACTTTTATGATCGGTGCACTTGCAGAAGTCGCAACAAGTTTTTGGCGCTGTTGCCGGGGATTAGAATTTTCAACATTAGTAGGAGCTATAAGCAATTTTGATTAGACTTTTTAATTTTTTGCAATTTATTTTTTAATTTTCATTTATTATTTTTATTTTTACTCAATTTTTTTATTTTCTGATTTATGCGAGGTACTGTTAATCCACGATCCTTGCAATTCGACCCAGGGTAGAGAAGACAACTAGAAAAAACAGAAAAATCATTAAAGAAAGAAAAGAAAAAGAAGCTTCAAGCTCTACGAAACCAAAAAAGGAAACCATGACTCATAACAACCCAATTTAGAATCCTTCGAGGACATTGGAGATTACAGACTCCAACTAGAGTTATGTAGACATCAAGCATTGTTAGGCCAAACGTAGATGCTAACAACTTTGAGATCAAGCCCTCATTGTTGTCATTGATTCAAATAGAGCAATTTGGTGGAGGAGGAGTTGAGGACCCACATCTTCATCTTGAGAATTTTCTGCTCTTGTACGATACTTTGAAGATGATTGGAGTATCTCGATATGCTATTTTACTAAGGCTCTTCCCCTTTTCACTGAAGGAAGACGCGAGGAATTGGCTACAGATATAACCTCAGGGAAGCATAACAACCTGTGATGATCTCTCAACTAAGTTTCTAGCTCGATTCTTTCCTTCTTCTAAATTGGCTAAACTCAAAACTGATATCTCATGCTTTTCTCAGAAGGATAGTGAATCACTCTATAAAGTATGAGAAAGGTTTAAAGGATTACTAATGAAGTGTCCACAACATGGACTATTGGCTTGGGAAAAAGCTTACATTTTCTTTTTTGGGATGACACCTGCTTTAAGATGTTTGGTCAATGCCGCTTCGAAAGGATCATTGAAAATCAAGACTCCAGAAGATGCACGTAAGTTGCTTGAGTCCTTAGCTTCTCAAGAGTTTGATAACGCTCCAGTACCATAAAGGAGAGCTAGAATCATGAAGTTGGAAGGGTATGATGCATTGTTGGCTCAAAATGAATAGATATTGCAAATGAATAAGAATCAGGAACAATAATTAGATGCTCTTACCAAATGGTTAGTCTCTCAACAAGTATCTTACATTAACACTCCTACAGTGATTTGCGAAGTTTGTGTTGGTGAACATGTTTCCGTAGCGTGTGATGTGATAGGAGCACCATAATCTGCTCAAGTAAATGGGATCTGGTATGATCAAAAGAATCAGAGCAACCCTATGAGGAATCAATATAATGATACATACAACCCATGGTGGAAGAATCATACGGGTTTAAACTACAAGTCATCACATCAACTGAATCCACCTCTTCTGGTGCAACAACCTCTTACACAGTAGAGTAATAACTCTAAGTTAGAGAAGACTCTTGCACAACTCTCAAAGACCACATTTGATTACATTCAAGGCACAAATACCTTAAGAGAACACCTTCCTTCATGCAAGAGACTAGGACTACATTATGGAATCAAGAACATTTCATAAGTAAACTGAAGACTCAAATTCGGCAGCTATCAAGGCAGATTTCTGAAAGAGCTCAAGGTACATTTCCAGGAGATACAGTCACTAATTCTAGAGAGCATTGCAAGGATATTATTACTAGGAGTGGGAAGGTCATTCAACCCAAAGAGACCTTTAAAGAAAAGAATAGTGCAGCGGATCCTATAGTTGAAGATGAGATGAAAGAAAAACAAAAACAAAAAGAAACAATTGTAGTTGAGAAGAGCAACGCGGAGAAAGTTAAAAAAAAGGAATTCTAGTGGGAGAAGAAGAAAGCTCTAGAAAGGCAAGACAAGCATTTGGATCTCTCACCTTATGCTCGTATTCCTTACCCTCAGAGGCTTAAGCAAGAGATTTAAAAGCAACAATATATGAAGTTTCTAGACATTTTCAAAAAGTTACAAGTCACCATCCCTTTTGTTGAAGCTCTAGAAAACATGTCCAACTATACAAAGTTCGTGAAGAATCTACTATCAAGGAAGCGTAAGTTATGGGAATGTGAGATGGTTACATTAACTGAGGAATGCAATGCTATCATCCGAAAGAAGTTGCCTCCAAAGCTTAAAGATCTAGGCAGCTTTAGCATTCCTATATCAATTGGGAATGCTGAAGTAGGTAAGGCACTGTGTGATCTTGGAGCTAGCATTAACTTGATGCCATTGTCAATTTGTAAATCTCTATGAATTCGTGAATTGAATCCTACAACTATCTCTCTACAGTTAGCTTGCGAGGTAAGCTTTCGTGTCCTCGGTTTAGCCATTGTTGGTTCCACCATACCCCATGGGGGATAGTTTATATGCATGATGTGTTTTCATGTATTGATTTTGAAATGTTGTTGAGTTGTTATGTGCAAGTGCCTTATAATATGCATGTGTTGTTTCACCTAGACGGTAAACCTGTGTATGTAGGAGACATGCCATAGGATGATTCTGTGGGTGGGTGCAATTGGTGTCTTGCACTGAGGTAGGTAATAGACGATGTAAATCCTGCATTTCTCTGGCCAGTAGAATAGTTGACATACATGACATGATTATTCTGCTGCATTGCACTGATTTTGGAACTTATACTATTTTATTGTTTTTAGAACTTATATTGCACATGTAAGTGAGCTTCGGGTGGAGAAATCCTTGAGGACCCATTGCCTTACTGAGATTTTTGTTTAGAGATCTCACCCCACGTTTGGGGCTCATTTTCAGGTTCAGGTACCTCGAGGGTTGAGACTGAAAGTAACTGGCCTTGAAGGCCGAAGCATGTGAGAAGGAAAAACAAAAAATTTTCTTGCGGAAACACACATGCAATAAAGACTCTTGCTTTAAGACAACATGATGTTACCTTTGTTTTTTATTTTAAACCACCAAGGAGGTCAGTGTCAGGTTTGAAGGGTTCAAACCCTCTAACGTTGATCCACACCACCCACGTCAAGATGCAAGAACACTTTCTTGAAAGCCACCAATTGACCACCACGAAGAGGCTTGCTATGCGCTCAATAGGTGAAGAAGGAGGCTAGGTGAATGTGTTTAGAAGAGTGATATTTTTAGCCTAAAATATCACAAAAGTGGCGCATGGAATAGAGGAGAATTGGCTAGGTATTTTTCTGAAAAACCTAAGGAAGAACTACACTAAAGTTAGTGCTCAAGAGGATGAGAGAAAGAGCTTTTATAAATTCAGATTTTTCTCCAAAAAATCATCCTTAAAGTGGCGCACAATCAAGGGAGATAAATTCAGATTTTTTTCTCCAAAAATCTGCCTTAAAGTGGCGCGAAATCAATTTTAAATCTCCTAACTTAGGCGTGACTGGTGACCTATGTTACACCGAGATCAACATGGGACATGGGATTAGATACGATAAGACACTCCGCCACGTTAATTTTAAAACAAGTTAAAATTCGACACGTTAGGACACATTTTGATATTATATAATATTTTTAATTTATGTAGTGTATATTATATTTAGTATTCAATAATTTAACAAAAAAATAAAGCTAAACTTATAATACCCATCAATTTTACAAAGAAATATAATATATTTCAAATGTTTATGTTAAACTCAATAAAATCGTAATAGTAATCTAACGAATCTAATAGTTGGAACTCAAAAAGCAACGCAACGTAACCTTTGAATTTTTTTGAGTCTTTGCAACGAGTATTGAACTGCCGGTGAGTGTTGGGAAGTGTCGAACACGACATGTCAGGATTTTTGAAGTGTCGATGTTTCATAGCTGGTGACGACCAATCCGAACGTGACATACTGCAATACACGTATAAATAATTTTAAAATAGCAATAAATTCATAATTTTTTTAAAAATTGCAATTAATTAATTTTTTTCCCATATATAAGACCCAAAGTCATCCACATATTGAAATACATATTTTACGACATACTTTACCATTAATATATATTAACACTAACGTTGATTCTAATTTGTCAAAACAAACTGTTAATAAATAAAAAGTTTAGCATTAACTAAATAAAAAGTAAATTAAAAATATTTACTTGTATGAGTTGGAATAATAAACAAAACTGCTTATGTATATTAAATATGAAAAACATTTTTGTTTTTATTGTAGAAATTTTTTCTCTATTATATTTATATAAAAATGAATGAGTCTTATTTAAAAAGAAAAGAAAAAAGTTAATAAAATTTATTTATTTTTATATGAATGTGACATAAAAAAATTTCTGTAATAAAAAGTAGAAATATTAAACCTATATAAAAAATGACAAAAGTGTTGAAATAATATATAAAAAAAGATGATAATATTATAATGTGATTGAAAAGAGAGAAACGAAAAGCCGGGACGAATTTAGGGCTTTTTGACCGGAATAGTTTAAATTTATAAAACTTTGACCGAAATAAGTTTATTGTCAAACTATTGCCGGGTGTAATGCATCACGACGCATTGTGTCAGTCGCCGGAATAAGAAACGGTGGGGTATCTATCGTTTTAGAAAACTTTCCAACATGTGACATTGGTACTACACCACACCACTTCTAATGCCTTTCTGTTCGTCTCTCGCTTCTCAAACCTCAAATACAAATGCTTCAACTCAACTCTATCTATTATTATATTTCAATTGTTGGTATAAAATTATTTCTTATATATATATATATATATATATATGACCTCATATATGTCTTACATTTATTATATATGTATAAGTGAAAAATTATTTTATATATTAAATCCATAATAATATTAATAGAATAGAAATAGAAAATAAAAATTGTGGCAGAAGAAAGCAATACACGGTAAGTTGCAACTCCAAAACCCAATGCAATATTTGTGATGGACGTTTGATTCTCGCGCCTGCTCATGTGTTCAGCCTTTGACCACTGCATGCAAAGAAAATGGTACCTGGCCAAACGTTTTTCTGATGTGCCTTGGCAGATTCTACCACCGGTGGCCTTGGCAGATTTTTTTTGGTTTCATTCCTGCTCTCCTCCTCTAGGTACATTTCTCATTTCCTCTCTTGGTTTCAGTTTTCATGGTCCCTTTATTTACCTTAACCACATTCTAACTCCATTTAAAGATGACTTTACCTAAAGTTCACGTAAGCAATTTCGGTTCACTAAAAAGAGCGTATTAATTTCTTTGGAAGGAATTAGGATCAAGGCCTCCTTGGCATAGATTCAAACCTGTGGGCTGTGGTCTTAAAATTTTTAATTAAATTATAATAATTTAGTAAAAAAAAATCTCTATATATTAAGGAAAATTTTTGTACATAATATCATATAAAATGAATAATTTTTTTTGACTATTACATAATACTAGCATCAGTAATAAGTGAAAATATATTTAAAAATATAAAATTTTGATGTTTATACCCATTGATTGGAGTAAGGAATCACGATATATATATATATATATATATATATATATATATATATATTAAGAATAAATATATATATATATATATATTAAGAATAAATTTCTTTTTCAAAGAGTTAAAAAAACGCTATTTCATTAAAATGCTTTTTTATATATGTCCTTTTTCAAGGCACTTTTTTAAGGGCTTGATATTTTTTTAAAAGATAAAATTATCTCCTACATATATATAATAATGTACAAAACCCATGTAGAGTCATATGAAGAGAAGAGAGAGAAAATGAAAATATGAACCCCACACATTTTTATATGGGTAGGTGATAAAAATTATCTCTTACAATATGAGAGATATTAAACACTGTTTTTAAACAAGGATTCCATTTTTGTCCTCTTTCCAAATGTAAAATATTTATCACAAGATAGAGTGTAATTTAAAATCATATTTGAATTGAAA